CATTTTCATATATTGGCCCAGAAAGATCGCGTTAAGGGCTGTCTGTATATGAAGGCATATGACAAGCAGGCGAGGAGGCTAATCAACTACATCAGAGTGGCCACTTTTTGCTTCTTTACTGCAGCACGCTCCTTTGGCAGGCAATCTCCACCCTCTAGCTGCAGCAAAGTCATTCAGCGCATCACGGATATTTTCTGCGAGCCTGTCATTTGCCAGGTGGCAAGCTGAGACCTTGATTGACACAGCATATTTCAGCATGCCACTGACAATGCCTGCATAGTCAATGTGATGGCGCTGCAGGTCTGGCACGCTTGACGAGAATGGCAAGAGAAGGTGTTGCTGCAGCCTGAGAAGAGTGCATGTCTGCATGGTGGCGCAACGCAGCGCGAGAGCCAAGCATGAAGCTACTGCAGCTGCAGCGCAACTTAATTACCAGCGCACAGTGGTGCCAGGTCTTTGTGGCTGTCCTTTGTTACATAGCAAATCTTTCAACAGAAGGTTTTCTGAGCCATATCAATCGAATGTGAGGCCTGGAACTCTGAAACTCAAGCTTCCTCCTTGGAAGCCTGTTTTGAGGGTTCAAAAAGTTCAGTTTGGCCAAGCAGTAATTCAAGGCACCCTCACCATTACGTGTTACCATGTGTTACCGTACTGTAGTGGATGCCAGGGTGATCTAACCCATTGGGTGCACCCTGCTGTGAAGCGATCGGGCTGCGACAGGCAGATAGTGCGCGATTCGCACATTTGTGGCAGACTTTTTTAGGCACATGCAAGTGCGGGCGCGCGCTTGCGCGCAAATGCGGCTTTTTGTTAGTTGCTTTACGGAAAGAAACATCTCACGAACCAAAGGGGATGCTTTCGCTAGTTCCAGTCAAGGTGGATGCTTCCGACGTCTCCCCAAAGATCCGGGGGCCGGGGATGAGGCTGCGGCGGACAAAGAGGCACATCCGGCGCAGAAGCCCGTGGCTTAAGAATTTCAGAGAAGGCGCAGCAGAATTCAACTTGCAGTGTGGATGAGGTTCCAAGGTGGCAGGGAGCAATCGAAGAAAGGACCAGGACAGGTCGAAGACGACGAGGACAGAGACATGCAAGCAGGCAAGCAGAAAAGGCAGTGATTGCAACGACTGATGCACCCAGGCTTTGGGTAGTTCGTGGCGAGCGGTTGATCATAGAAGCCATGGAAGCCTCAGGAGTGGGAATACTTCTGGGAGGAGGATTCGGAAGAGGAGGACTTCGAGGATGATCAGGCGAACCTGTTCAGAAGATGAGAGGGTTTGACAGGGGGACGTGTTTTTCCTTGGTGGGTAGGGATACCTTCAAACAAAAGTGATGCTTGGCAGATGGTGGACGTGAGCCCAGCGCCCACTTCATCCTTTGGCCAGTCTGGGCGAAGCCAGAGCATCGTCAGGGACTCAGTTGGGGACTGGCTGGCCAAAGGTCAATGATTCCAACAGGTCCTTTTAGCAGCAAAGCTCGCTTCATGTCAATGGAAAACTGATTCGCAACATTCCATTTGGCACTGCGCGGACAGTTTCTATCAGTTCTGCGAAAGAGGGTGTACATTTCGGGGAAATATCTACTTGGAAGTTCATGGTAGTAATGTGTAATTCTGTGAGGGGACACGTGCCTGGATTTGGTTCATTGCAGCAGTTACCCTTCTCATGACCGAGCAAGAAGCCTTCAAGGAGGCCCTAGACACGACCTCAACCCTCCCTACTGAAACTCGTAAGAAAGCTGAACCTGTGTCGGGAATGTGTCTGGGGAAGTCGCCGAAGCTAGAAAGTGCTGCGCTTGCCAGCAAAGAATGCAAACGATAGCGATGCGCCCTGAGAAAAGGACTTCACCTCCAGTTTAGCAAGAGGCCAGCAGCAGCAGCAGCAGCAGCTGAGGGCTTTGGGCCGGTGGCCTCGCGGACCTCCAGGAATTCCAGGACCAGCGCCACCCAGGCGGGACTGGTGAGAGCTGGAAACTGAAAATGAGATCAGAACTGGCTACTGCCTAATTACTGGCTGCATATATAGCTAGAAATCAGACCAAGTTTACTGACCTGGCAGGCAAAGAAGTCCCAAAGGCAGACTACAGAGTGAGCTGGCCACCGCGGCCCATTTTTAGCTTCTGAGATTCAACTGCGTGACTGCAGGAGGTTTACTGCAGAGAAGCTGGGCATTGTATGTTCGCAGCGCTCCCACTCCAGTAACTGCATATTGCCAACTTGAAAATGCAGCACCCAAGCCCCAAAGTTCCTTTCCGTGAGCTGCTTCGGCCTGTGTGAAAACATGCCAGGCTTTGTACATATCTCTTGCATGGATTCATCTCATGCCTAGTTTGCACAACGCTGTAAACCCGTTGTATGGCACTGCAATCTTGAATGCATCCATGGAAGCATCGATGCAGCAGATAGCTCAGGCATCCGTGCAACAAGCACATGCCTCGAGGAACCCAGTTAATGACCTGCTTTCAGGAGCAATGTGAATATTCAAATGGTTGCAGATCGGCTGGGAACTGAACCATAGGCTCCGTCAGACTGGCTCTGGATCACTTCAAGTTTGGCCCACCCAGATCACAACCCAATTCTTTAGACGACACAGAATTCGACCTCTCCATGGGGGTCATTGTGCTGCTGCAGCCTTCGCAGGCCTACATTTTCAGCTCGGACGAGATCTGAGCTGCTGGTAGTTTCTTTGTGCGCCCATATCAGCAACAGACCAGGCCTCCCAGCATGTGGCTACAGATGGCTATGGTACATATCCAACGGCGGGAAGGAAACTAAGGACTTCAGCTGCCAAGCCTTCGTTAGCATTCCAAGGAAGACATTCACTTCTGCCTCATGGTCTGTGCGGTAGGAATCAATTTGAAGATCTATGACTGATTGAAAACAATGCTCTGCGAGCAAGTCTACTTCTGTGCATAATCCGCCAACAACCAATGTTGCCACTCTTGCGCACTGAGCGACAGTCCCAGCTGCATGCCCCAAAGCAACAGCAAAGGGTAGCGACAATGCGCTAGCTCGCCTCCACAGAAACTTCTTGCATAAGCTCTTCCAATCACGGAAGAAAGGCTCCTCTGTTTTTGCAGAGAGTAGCAGATGCCCCAAAGCTATAAGGCTGAGCTCCAAACCACCCTTGGAACTAAAACCATCTCAAACCGTGAGCCGGAAGTTCAGTCCTCAGTGCCCCATGCCTGGCGAAATGCAAAGCAGAAGTGCTCGATGGCTGCATTTCCTTCCGAGGCTGGAAACCTCAGAAAGCCATGAGCCATCTAGTTCGCAGATTCGCAGACCAGGAATCACTACTGCCAGGCACAGCGCCTCGCCAGCCGTGCGCTGCGGCCGTGGCTCGCTCGGGCGGCACGCCGCCCGATGCCTCGGGGCCGGCCGGGGAGGCATGTGTGATTGTGGCAGGCTTGTCGCTAGTGGCCATTGGTTGGGTTCAGTCACTTGAGGGAACTGAGAGGCGCAGTGGATGTGACAGCCTCATCCAAGTGCTCTCAGGCCAGCCGTTCCTGGGCTGCTGTGTGACTTACAGCCTCTGAGCAGCATTTTCATGCATTTTCCAGACTGGGGCGATTTGATGATCATTGTGTGGATTCTAGCTGACCTCCAAGCAAGTCTGCGCCTTCAAACTGTGGATCCTTGTGGCCATGCGCCATCATGTTCAGGGCGGAGGCGGTCCAAGAGCACACCCACACAAGCGAGTCCTTTGCTGAGATGGACGCGGTGGGCGCTGCAAGGACAGGTCAAGAAACAGCTGTGGAACGTCCCTCTTGGCCTTCATTTGCCAAAAGCTGGTTGATGCTGCAGGTTCTCGCACGGGCAGGCCTTTGTGGGGTGTCCAGATTTGAGAGGGCAGGGGCTGTTCGGATTCGCGAACCGCACCTGAAGAGGACCAGAACCATAAAGTCTCCAGTTATCTTGGAAATGTGCACCAAGCCCACATACCGACAAGTTCTGTTGCTTGTCTTGTTGCCGCCGGCACTGCAGGCTGCTGCAGAGGCCGTGGCCAGGGCAGAGCGGGCTGCCTCGCTGGATGCGCTGCGAAACGGCAACGTGGCGCCCGGCGTGCCTCGTTTAGTTGATCTTCGGACAGCGCAGCAAGTCAGATAGAGTTGCAGGCAGGAATGTTAGACTGAGGCTTCAGTGATGCTAAGCTCCGCTTCTGGCTGCCATAGCAAGAAGATCAAAATTAGGCAAGAATGAGCCAGCTAGACACAAGGCCCCCTGATGTAAGTGCGTAGAAATCTGCCACAGTAGCAACATGTTTGAGGTTGTCCTGTCCATGTACTTCATTCTCGTGCGACACGGCCGGCGCAGTCCTCGGTGCTATCCGGAACATGTCAATGATAAAAGGTTTGGGTAGACGTCTTACATGAGCAGCAAGTTGCGCAAGTATTCTGCAAGGTCGAGCTCTTGACCGCAAACAATACAGAGACTTGTGTGGAAACGATCCATTCTTTGAGCTCTAACTGGCAAGCGCCGGTCGCGGCACCTAAGTTATCATGTCAAAGATAGCACTGAGAAACAGCTCGCAAAAATCGTCAAAGGTGAAAGCAACTATCTACAACGCCTCTAGCAGTCATTCCAACTCTGAGATCAGGCTTCATAGAGACACATCGGCGTGCCAAATTCACCTGCAATTTCGCATGCATACCTTGACAGTATTGAGTTGCCAGAACAGTTACCAAGCGTGCAAACAAGTAAAGCCCACGAAGGCAAATGAAACAAAAAGCATTTGAGGCCACCCGTCACTACTGCATGCCACAAGCTTCTCTCTGAATGAAGGGTTCGTGTATGGCCACATCAGCAGAAGCTTGCCAAAACATGGCTGTTGAGGGTGCTGAAGGCTGAGATCCTTGTTGTCTGACTGAATGGGCGTGGGTTATTCAAGCTCGCAAGCATTTTTGCCGACTTTTTATTGAAGATCTTGAGTCCACATTTCAAGCTGAAAAGTATCAGGCCACTGGTTGCCTCAGAGGCTGCCGACCTTTGGGAGGCTCTCCTTGGAATGCCTACCAGGCTGGACGGGGACTTCGCGAAGCTTTGCCATGCCCGACATGCAGCGTCCCCCTCTGGACAGGATACGAAGACTTGTAGTGACTGGCACATGTTATTGTTGATTGCTTTCTGCGTTGAGCCCTGTCCACGCAGGGCTTCGGCGCGGCCGCTGCTCAGGCGATTTGTGACTGCTAGTGCTGCTACTGTAGGAGTGCATGATTGTTTGATGCCTGGGTGTTTTTTCTGCATCTGACATCTGAAATCTGCTATACAGTGGGCCTTCTCCTTTCATGAATCAGCTACCACCTGAAGCGGCAATGGCGTTGCTGACGTCAGGCTCTCGGGACGCGAGCTTTGTGATGCCCTCTTTGTCCTCGCCGCATCAAGACGTTTCCAAGGGCATGCAGAGGTTGCCCAGGAGGTTCCGAGTCCCCTGAGCGGAAGTCTGCTGGGACGTAAAGGGCGGGGTCGTAGATTGTAGTATAAACTGGTCCGATTTTGGCAGGTAGCAAAGACTTTGTGCTTTCACTATGAAGAATACCTCCCCGAGTTGCAGCTGTGGCCCCAGACGCTACCACTTGTCTCCGCGGCCTGGCACGAAAAAGCAAGGCAGCTCAGGTGTGGGGGTCGACCATTCAGCAGTTTCGAAGGTTTTTGGAGCCCATGCTGGCGGCTTTGCATGCCTCACTTGGCCTGACTCCGCTTGGCAGCCAAGGAATTCCTAGCGTGGTATTGCAGATGCTTGGACGAGTTCTGTAGCTGACGTTAGACTTTCGAAGCCGCGCTTTGTCGAGATCCAAGGAGACAGGCGATTGATTGGCACTTTCCTGCGGACAGTGTTGGCGCCATTTTGGCGTAAACACGAAGTCGCCGTCACGCAGTTGAATTCAGAAGCAAAGCCACATTGTGTTTCAAGGCTCCAATTGCTAAGGTCCAGGGAGCCTTGGTACCGCACCATGCGCAAGCTGTATCGGCAGCCTGCTCTTCTTGCGGAAGGCCAGGCTTCTCAGCACGTAGAATGAGTTCAGCCCTGGGTGTCTGCATTTTGCAGGGCTCTGCCGCATGATGTCTTGGAAACGGTCCGCGGTGCCCTGTGCAATTGGACCACGGCCAACGTTTCTCAGCTCGGGCCTCGCGGCACGGCAGGCCGGGATTGCCAGCTCCTGGCTTGGCTTGCTGTGTCCCCAGAAGCTGGCAGCATCTGACAGCTTTGCGCCTTGCCAGGCATGGCGCTGGCGCTGTCCAGGGTAGGACGCTTTGCACAGCTTGCGGTTCAGATGCATCAAGCGCAGGTAATCGGGTAAGACTTTTTTGCCTACCAGCAGAAAAGACTGGTGAAGCATTCTGACAAATTGCCAGGACCTGGTCTAGCCGGTGAGGACCCGCTGCCTTTGTGGATGCACACTAGCTATGTTTTAAGTGTTCTTTCCAGTTTGGGCGGCGGGTGGATGCTCAACCAAAGACCCATCGCCTTCTAGCCGGCATCCACCTTCTTGTAGGATGCCAATGCCCGGCTGTTGACCATGCTAGTGCGCCGTGCAGGCCAGCTGTTGGAGGACCTGAGACTTTGCGCATAGCATTCAGTTGAAGACATTGTTCTCCAGATACTTCAAGCTACTGACGCGTTCATTGCTTGCAGCTTTGCCTTGCAAGGAGGCAGCGGAAGGCTCTACCAAGATGATGCGGCGCCAAATGGCTTGCAATGATCATATTTTGCATAGTTGAGCGTTGATCTGAAGGTCCTTGCAGGAAAAGTCCTTGCGAAAGCTTCGCGATGGCACAACGAAAGGACGTTATTGTCTCGCGAAAGTTTTTACGTAAGCCAACTTGCATAGATGTCAAGGCTCTCAGCTCTCCTAGCTGCTAGGCTATGCCGGCCTTTCTCTCAGCCCCTTAGAATGTGGAGGCTTATTTGAGCTAGAAATTCTTTGGGCTCTATGTCCAGAAAACGCGGGCGGGCAACGTAAGTTAGTGCGAAAGTTCCGCGCAAGTACCGCGTGAGTAGAGGTTACAAAACTATGGGCAAGAGCACGCAGTAGACATCTGTGTATTGAGGCTAGGATAGTTAGCCCAACAGAGCCTTGCCATGTGCAGGTCTATAGTAGTCTACAGGCTTAAAGATTTTGGACTTGAGGCTTTAGGGTGCAGGTGCAGCTGCTTTGAATTGAAGTATGTAGGGAAGAGATTTGCGAAGTCAGAGGCCTTCCCATTCTAGACGTAGAGCTTCGCGGCTGCTGAAGGAGCTACCTATCAGATACACGCGCGGCAACGGGTCCGCGAAAGTTTCGGGAAAGCAAGCGTTTTCTCGCGAAGATGGTCATTTCGGCATGAAGGAATTTAGATCAACGCCCATACCCGTCCTAAGCAGCACCAACCGCATCTCGCGTCGTACGGCAAAGAGAGTAGAGTAGATCAGCTGTTGTGCGGCAATCTGTTTTTTTCCGTTTGCGTGTCTTTAAAAGGCTGCAGAACTGCAGCCGACAGAACAAAAGTGAGGTCCTTTGGGCCAGAAGGCTGGGCAAGCGGAATGTAGCTACAGAGATTTCACGGCTTTTGTGGCGTCGGCTGGGCTTGATTGGAAGGCTGTCCAGGACTTATGACTTCCAAGTGTCCTCATTTTGCGGCTCCTGGCTGCGGGGAGACACTGAATGTTTGCGGTGTAATCGTCAGATGAAGATCCAAGCTGGCAACGGCTCTCAATCGGCTTCAATGAGTTGTGGGGTGATCTCACCGCACGTTTGTTGACCCAGCGTGCCTGCTGCAGGTGTTCAAGCCTCTGACATCAGCTACTTGTCACGCAAATACGCAAATACGCAATTCTTGCAGCTGGGAGGATTCTGTAACTGGGCTCTGTGAGTCCGGGAAAGGTACAGTTCTTCCGCGCGGACTGGCTTGGTATGTTCCTGAGTGCTTTGGCACGGGGGCGTTGTCGCGATGAGGTCGAGACACTGAGGCGGGCTGAAATTTGGGGACTTGAGCAAATGACAGCATTGCATACATTGAACATTTTTTGGGGTTTCTCGCTCTCGGAAGGCGCTTGCTGGAAGCACACCTTCTTCCACGGCAGCGCAGCAGCCCGGGATGAGAGTTAGTTGAGAATCACTGGCGCGGAGGTGTTCAGGTTGACGGCAGGCTGGGGCTATAGGGAAAGTGACTGCGATCATGCTTGCGATCGAGAGGGTGTCATGATAGTTCCGGGAGATCACAAAATGTTCTACCGGTCATTCGCCACGAGACCGCTCTCAACATCCAGCACCAACTTTCCGCAGCCATTGAAAGAATTCATGCCTTTGTTGTTATGCTTTCTGAAGGTCGCTTGGCCTTCGAGGCGCAAAATCTGGCCCTTGCTGCAAATGCTGTGCTCAAGCTGGCCACCAGGCTGCAGCGCAGCCTAGCGGAGCTAAACTACTTGAAAACAGAATGTTTGACACCCTGAGCCTGGTGTGTTCTGCGGTGTGTGAATCTGTGGCTTCAGCTCTCAGAGGATTTGTTACAGCTCCGCCTGGGTGATTCAACGCCACTGGCAGCGCTGGCCCCCGAGGTACGGCGCGCATGCGCCTCTTCTGCAAGGCAGATGCAACCCCGTGAACGAGTAAGGATGCCATATCACTTTTATCCGGTGCTCAAGATTTCAACCTTTTTGTGGTTTGTGCTCCGAGTTTTTTAGATAGTTTCTTCGGTGGTTTTGTGATGTTCGTGGCAGCCGCCCAAGGGGGCAGTCTCGCTGAGGCATTGCCATGGAGGGGGATAGCGGAGCTCGTTCTGCCGCTTCACTGCAAGCGAGGTTGGCATGTAAGCTGGAGCTGCTGTTTCATCCTGGACGGACGGACGGAATAATGGAGGGCTGGAGGGCTGGATGGATGGATGGATGGATGGATGGATGGATGGATGGATGTAGCCACTGCAGCTGTGCACTGCGTGCAGTATGTTGGGCTTGGGATCAGGATGTGACTCCTACATGCCACCTACAATGTGTGTACATGTATTTGCCTTTCGCTCTCTCTGTTTATGTGTTTATATATACATACATACATACATACATACATATATATATATATATATATGTAGCCATGCTTTTGCTGTTGCTGCCGCTGTTGCTGTTG